GCAAGGCAAAAGTAAGAAGTAAAAAAAGCGCCAACATTTTTTTGTTTCTTGAACTTGGCAGGACATTCATCATGGAATACGGCGCTCAGACCTGTAAAAAAATAAACAAGTATGTTAGCTCCGTGGCACCATAGTTAATATATATGACATGGTTTGGAAACCTTTTGTTTTAGGTGATTGTGTACCTTGTGCAGGGTCACGGTTGAAAAATCCTTTGTCTTTCTATTGTTTGACAATAGTCAGTTCAGAAAGCTTGGAATGGGTACCAAGTATTTGTTTTGCTTACCAGGGCTATATCTTACGGCATATTTTGCAAATAACGGAGTATTACCACCATTTTTCGATGGAGAATGTTTGTGTTACATCGTTTGGTCAATTCTCATTGATTAAAACCAATATGTGCAGGGTCAAACAGACTGTTCAACCTCCATGTCCGTTTATAGCGTAATTTCTTTGAAGTTTCCCGGGTTTCCCAACCAGGTCTTATAACAACCATGGTGGCACAGAATAGAGACATACAAAAAGTCGACTCAGGCAAAAAAGCTTAACCGTTACCTTGCCATGTTCCTAGCCAGTGCGCTTATGGGTTATGAGAGGCATTCATCCCCCTTAACGTCCACCGGTTTGAACATTTTTACGGGGTGAATGCCTCTTATAAGCGCTTTGGCTAGGACCATGGCGACAGCATTGCAACAGTTACACCAAAATCATAGACAAAACCGACTTTCTGTATAAGTCCGATACAGTCATGATATAACAATAATGTTACAACCTTGTGTCGTCAACCTTGTTATATCATGACTGTATCAGACTTGTTGGAACAACCTTGTAAAAAGTCTGATAATGCCATCAAGATTGTTGCAACTAAGTTGTTAACAGCTTGTTCCAAACTTGTTACAACAACTGGGAACAAGCAGTGGGAACATAACTTGTCGACAGCTTGTGAACAGATTTGTAACAACTTGTTTGCAGACTTGTAACATAACCTATTAAGATATGTGGGTCTGGAAACTAAACAGAAGTGTTTGTTATATGTTTTTGGCTGAGTTTATGTTAATTTGTGCACGCTCAAGGTGATTGAGCTAATTGTATTTTCGTATAATGAAGTAATCGTCCAATAGGGATAGCTGAGATGAAACGTGCAACCACGATGAATAAAATTTAATGAAGTTGACACAAAGGATTTATGCACAATGAACTACAGTTCAACATCAAACAAAGCTCTTCTATTTTGTGGCTTTGAAGTTTGCCGGGCTTCCTGACCATCATATCTTTAATAGACAATGCTTGTAACAACTTGTGCATTTCTCAATCAGTCAGTCAGTCTAAACTGTTCTTCATAGAGGTCCAGTACGACTATTCCCTCACCAGTGATTGCGAAGCGTGTGAATAAATCAGACTACAATATATTACAGTTGAAAATCCAATATAATCAATTGTTGAAACCTACCTGAGAATCCGACACACAAGGAAGTAAAATCCTTGTGTGTAAACCTGTCAGGCACGGTGTATCATAGTGACATATTGACAATGTTTACACACTAAGTTTACACAATAGAAAATGTCTTTCTTGCTGTCAAACCTACAAACTGAAGAGAAAGATGAATGATTTAAAGCTTCCTGTATTGTGGTTGGCTATGCATCATTGCCTATAGATTTCCTGTCGAGGAGCATGTCTCCGTATCGATATGATCAGACACTTAAAATAATGTTGTATAGTACTACGCCGTGATTCGCATTGCGGTCGCCATGCATGTTCCTATATAACCAGTACGCTAAGGAAAGCCGGCCATCGCCCTCCTCCCGAAAACATTAAAAATGGCAGGGTTGGCATAGGCGTTCAGGGGGAGGAAGGGGGGCGATATACCATTCGTAAGGCATTAGCTAGGAAAGGAGTTGTGTAGTGCAAATAGGCCTTAATCTATACCTTGTATCATGATTTGCTTCCATACCCAGACTTTTATATAATTCAAGAAAATAATTAACATATTTAATAAAATTTTTTAATTTCATCACGGCTGGGATGAAACATAATGTCATATTTAGTATGGCATGAATGTCAAGCATAGAACGCATCTATATATACTATAGACTATAGTGCAGATAAAATAAACCGCATACTCAAAAAGTTTCTTATCCATTAGTTTTCATTTAGCTCAATACCAAAAAACTAGTATGATAGATCCATAAACCACGAATCAAACACAAATTATTAAAAGAAAAGCAGTAAAAATGTAAATAAAAAGTTGAAACAATAAATCATAATTACCAATTTGATGAGTTCTTGCCAGAAGCTTGATAAATTCTAAACAAAATCTATCAACTACAAGAAAAAGATGTCAGTTTTCAAAGATCTGTCGTAGCACCGGTATTACAAACTGTTCAACTATTTTTACTATGCCCACAAGTGACAACATACTGTCCAAAATAATACAAGGTCGCCAAGTTACTGAAAGAATATATATTTATTTGCAATTTTCCTCGCTCTGTAAACACCATTATAAAATTAATTGGATTTTAAAAGATATTATTTCGTCACAAAAAAAATTAAGCATGTGAAACATCAAAGCGCGCATAAAAAGGAACGTTTTGAACTATTTTTTTATTAAAAAAACTTGTTCTGTTTTTCCAACATAGGAATGAAACACGACCTTTCAGATTTCAGGATTTTAATCCTCAGTGGTTTGTCTCTGAAATATCTGAATCAGATTAATGGCCGCTAACGAAGGGATTTTGCCTGAAACTTGGAAATTTTTAAATATTTTTTAGGTGTTTCAGATACAAACCATCATAACTTATAATTACAATGAAACTGAAACCTGGAATGTTTTAATATTCTTTAGGAGGTTCGGATACAAACCATCATAACTTGTTACAATGAAATACTATCCTGCATTGTACCTCCTTGCTCGCGAATTTGATCCTAGGCCTAGAACTTTTTATGAACGTATTATGTTTACCGAGTACAAAGACAGCGAAATCATATTTACACACGCTATGTTTACCCAGGTTGAGTTAAGCAGAATATTTATTTTTATGAGTTTAAATATTTAAATAGCAGCGGAGTAGCCTTGGAGAGTGTTCAGCGCGTATACAGCTGAACAAATAGAAGTTGCAAATTTGGTACAAATTAAGAAAGGTCGCGCGTCACAATTTCAGAGCGAATCAGGAGACTGTCAGCAAACGAGTTGATATATGACAAGTTCAGATTTGACTTCCACTACCGCTACCGATAACCAATCAGATGAGTTTGATAAATCCGATTAACCAATCAGATGCGTTTGATACATCCGATTAACCAATCAGATGCGTTTGACATATCCGATTAATTAACCAATCAAATGTGTGCTAAGCCATAGTGGAAGTGAAATCTGAACCTCTATAATACTCGATACAGATAATCTTGATAAAAATTTATTTACAGGCTATAAATATACACTTCTATTAATTCATTTCTATACAATAAATATTTCCTCCCCACACTAGCCCCAGTCCACTAACCGTCACGCTCGGCTTTTTGCTGGTCGTGGCTTTCTTACGAGCGGCGTGGGAGACTTGGTCTTAAAATGTCTCGTGAACAATGGACTGTCAATGGCAAGGCCAAGATTGACGAAACTTGCTGCGGACTTCGTTCCATTTGCTCTGTGGAGGAAAAGATTGAGATTCAGAAACAGACTGAGGCCTACAGTACGGCATCATTGCTCTTTCATCTCTGCGCCAGATTCCTGCAATGTGAAGTTGTACGCAGGACTAAAAGTTCGTCTTAGTCGTAGAAGAATGCTGTCCAGTATAAATAAAGTTAGTTTAGTTTAGGTTTCCTTCTGTAGTAACACTGGATCAATAAATAAAGTTAGTTTAATTTAAGTTTCCTCCTGTAGTAACACTGGATCAATAACAGATGACCCTTACTGGACCTCTAGGGAGAACGGTTTAGAACGGATAGAGCTATCCAGTATAAATAAAGTTAGTTTAGTTTAGGTTTCCGCCTGTTGTAACACTGGATCAATAAGAGATGACTCTTGCCTGACCTCTAGGGAGAACAGTTTAGAATTGATACAGCTATTAGTATAAAAAAGTGAGTTTAAGAATGATTATAGTCGAGTTTCAAAACATTGGATATTTTAGCTTACCTGGCAGTGGAGTCTGATGAGACAGTAGTGGCCGCAGAAGGAAGTCGACTTTCACCGGGTGACGTAAAACATCGTTTCACATCCAATTGTGAACTATGACATAATGCACTTCGGGATATTCCGCCTATTTCACCACCCCAAGCTGCCCTCGGACCAGACCGGCACGGCGTCGGGCTGAGTCGGAAATCCGAAGGTAAGAACAAACCTTGGAGATAATCTTTTCTTGTCTTTGCAATCTTCGGAAGAAAGAGAGTTGTTGAACGTTGATTTTTTTTATAAAGTGATACTTATACTGAAATTCCTTTTTAAGTTTTGAAATCTCATCTATGCTTATTCCAATTCAAAAAGTTCAAAGAACTAAAGGTGCAGCCCACCTGTTTCAGAAAATCTTTGCGAGCGTTTCCATATCCGTTGAAAATGTGATCTGCAAACAACAGCTTACCACCAATATACATCTACACAAAGAGAAAACACTAATAGTGAAAATACTATAAAAAGTGTTATAGCTTCTTGCAGTTTCATTCTACTAAAACCAACAGGTTCCCTTCGAATACTCCGTTTCCTCCTGTAGTTACACTGCAATAAGTTTAATGCCAGTTTACACATGCAATTTTTGTAGCGATTCTTTCTCTGATGGACGTTCAGATGAGGGAATATATACTCCGAACATTTATAGCTCATCTACTCGTTCACATCTATCAGAAGAAGAACATCGCAGCGAAAATTGCAAGTGTAAACAGGCCTTTACTGGACTTCCACGGAGAACAGTTTATAAATGATGGAGCCATCCAGTACCAAACAATTTACTTTTTGATGTTTGTGATGTTACTCTGAGTATACATCCACACCAGGCAAGCTGAAAAGTTAGCCTGACCACGGTGGGAATCGAACCCGCGACCTTTGGGATACTAGTCCAATGCTCTGCCAACTGAGCTACGTGGTCATGTCGGTTCGAGTTGATGATACTTCGGAACTGAGTCTAGTTCCTTCGATATCAGTGTACGTGGCCACGCTAACTTTTCAGCTTGCCCGGTGTGGATGCACACTCAGAGTAACATCACAAACATCATATTCACCTGAGTACATAACACCAACACAGAAAAAAATAATTTACTTTTTATTGTCGTAGTTTAAGATTAAATGTAACCAACTAGTACCTGATTTAAAACTTAGCCTCACGAAAAATTTCAACCTACCAAGAACATGCCAGGTATAACATTGTGTCTCTTGACCAGTAAAAGTTGTTGGATCTTGACAATACTATCCACATTATACAAAACAATACGATATGAATCACTGCGAGCCTGTAGAGAAATATTCATAGATAAATACAGGGTATATACTTTATAGGAAAGTTTGTCCAAGATCGAGCAATCGTTAAAAACAAAGGACAATAGCGAAGAATGAAGCCTTACCTGAGCGCATGGAAATGAGCGATTTCTGTTTTTCTCATAATAAAGTTGTTCCAGCATACTCGTACATTGTGTCACAGATGGATTTCTGAGAAAAGTAAAATATTTACTTGAGATTTCTGTAAAAATAGCATGCATTCTTAATGAGCAGACCAGACAACACTGTCTTGTTCAGAGTGTGATTTACCTGGACGAAACTATATTGACAACCAAGAGCTGAGTATGTGGAACACTTTCTTTGACAAACTTATCGTAAGCGAGGTCGGATACAAATGGAATCTCTCGTTTTCTGCATCTAAAACGAAGGTTAAATGACGTAAGATGTATGAAAGAATGGACCAATCATTACCCACCCTTGGCTAAGAAATTTACAAAAGGATACCAGTCAGTTGTCACACATGTGCTTTACCACTTCTGTGACACGAGTTTGATAACTGCTTGTGCAATGTTCTGCAGTGTTTCATGTCTGCACATGTACTTTCTTTGGAGACACCATGGTATAGCTGTTGACATTGCCTTTTAGTCCTCAAAATTTGAGTGAGTCATGCTTTGGAAATGACAATAAATATTTATTACCCAACTCTTGAGTTGTTTTATTTTTCATTTACCCAACCTTTTACTCACTCAAGTTTTGTTCACCCAACCCTTTTCTCTTCGGTGCCACCCCGCCATAAATAATGACGCTCCCTGACGAGTTCCGTTATTGCATAGTACTGAGAAAGATCAATAAGTTATCAAGGCATCACTCAGTACCTGCAACATGGATATTTGTCACCGAGAAGCTCGGCGCGCAATGCCCTGAAATGATGTGAAGGAAAAAGCCTCGCAAAGCAAGACAAACTTGTGTTAATTTCTCACCCAATTTTTATCTAAATTTAACAAAAATTTAATCAATATATCCCTGGGCAACGTCCATTTTAGTCCCACGAAATTTCGCTGACAGACAACATTCGCGGATGAAAACATAAAACAAGTAAAGGATACACTGGACAGCCTTCCTTAAGCGAAGAACTTCGATTCTCGTATGACGTCATACCACATCGAAATGGAGGCTTGGGAGCCGACTGGTTTCTAGAAGAAAGATAAAGCTCAACATCACTCCAGTTGCCAAAAGCATGCCACAAGTAACTTTATTTAGACTGGATAGTTCTATCAGTTCTAAACTGTTCTTCCTAGAGGTCCAGTAAGGTTCATCTCTTATTGATCCAGTGTTACTACAGGAGGAAACCTAAACTAAACTAACTTTATTTATACTGGTTAGCTCTATCAGTTCTAAACTGTTCTTCCTAGAGGTCCAGTAAGAATAGTCTATTATTGATCCAGTGTTACTACAGAAGGCACCAGAAGAAAACCGGCGATGTTTGTTAGAGTCAAACTGGAATTAGGAAACCTAAACTAAACTAACTTTATTTATACTGGTTAGCTCTATCAGTTCTAAACTGTTCTTCCTAGAGGTCCAGTAAGGTTCATCTCTTATTGATCCAGTGTTACTACAGGAGGAAACCTAAACTAAACTAACTTTATTTATACTGGTTAGCTCTATCAGTTCTAAACTGTTCTTCCTAGAGGTCCAGTAAGAATAGTCTATTATTGATCCAGTGTTACTACAGCGGCACCAGAAGAAAACCGGCGATGTTTGTTAGAGTCAAACTGGAATTATTTCTTCTTCTTCCATGCGATTGAAGTGAAATTATAGTGAAGCAAGTGCTTACGCTAGAATTTGCTCTCTATCCATCTCAGTCAAGTACACTGGGAAAATCTCAGCATCATCACGTGACTTGTTCCCACACTCCAGATAACCCTCCACGGACTTGGCTAACTTGTCCAGCGACATTACGTTGACTCTCTCACCACGTGGTAAGGGAGGCGCTGACGGTGCTCGGTGTCCAGCGGTACGGACAGGTGACTCTGATCTTTTGAAAGTCACTCGGGCTGAAGGCATTTTCCCTGGGAGAGATTTAGCTGACATGGTGTGCTTGCGATGTGCTCTCTTATCCGGGACTTTAACTGGTGAGGAAATACCAGCCAATAAGCGATAGCTCTCCATCCAGTCATAGACAATACTCCTAGAAATTATGAAGGAGAATAAGCTCGAACGAGCTGTGGATTGAAAGAGATATAACTATTTATTTATTTAATTCGCCTTGTACATATTACAGTGGCAGGGAATCCGCAACAGCGTTTGCCAATTACTGCGGGCCCTAAAATATAAGAAAAATACTATCTGAAAAATACAAGCAGAAATTCGACGAAGTGCCTTCGGTCGAAACGTGGAAGTTCTGATTGTATTTCTCTGGTAGTTGTAACTCACTCAGTCCGCAACTGATTGGACCTATTACCTAATGAACAAAATTTTGATCTAGACAAGTCACAAGTCTAGACAAAAATTTCATCACAGCTTGAAAGAGCACCACGAAATTAGTAATATTCCGAAGTTTCGTTGCGAAATGTTGTAAAATGCGGATAATATAGCCCTGCGAAGTTTGCCGTTTTTCAGTCATTTTGTATTACGCACGGGAAATTGGTAATCAGATGATCAAACTGATTATCAATTTCCCGTGCGTAATACAAAAAAGTTTAAGGTTTTTTGAGACAACCTTTTTTGAATTGGCTGTGTACAAGTCCTGGGCGATTAAGGGCAGGAAAATGTTGTTCAAACTTGATTCGTAAAAAGAAAAGCTGACAGGCGAGATAAGAGTTTACGTACTTTATTTTTCGTCGCATTTTATACAAGTCAACATCGGAAGCAAGGTCTAGAGCAAGATTTTTTCTCTCGGGAAATATTTTATCCAGATCTTCTCTTCTAACTTCTTGTAACTCTTCAGGATTGCTTTGCTGACTCATCTTGTGAAACAACAAAAATCCCACTTTAGATGACATGCTCAAGAAAGCTGAGACCGGTTGTACAAAAGTCGGATAACGCTATTCCCCAGGGGCCGGTTGTACGAAGGGCGGATAGCGCTATCCACCGGATAGTGATTTTTCAACCTTTGTAAAATGCTTAACCATAATATGTGCAGTGGCTTTAAACCTGACAAAACACTCCTAATTAGTATTCTTTATATAAAGAATACTAATAAAGCAGTATCTATTGTAGTCGTGTCCTCATTAGTATTCTTTATATAAAGAATACTAATAAGGCAGTATATCTATTGAATTTGTATAGTCGTGTTTGAAGTCGTTTAATAACTCGCAGGTCGTGTTTTATTAGGTCTAAACCTAATAAAACACTCCTGCTCGTTTATTAAACAGTACATAAATTTCTACTCTACAATTTCCATCTACAATAGCCAACAAGTATTTTTTATTACCCGTTGTTGAGCTCTGGCTTTTCGTTCTTCACGCCTTGTTCTGGGTACTCTACTGGTTTTCACAGCAGTGAGCTGAAACAAATCACAAAAACAATTTAGAAATATTTCTAGACTTTCTACATTTGTATGGTATGACAAATTACCTGGTGGGCAGTTTCTGATAGATAATCACCCGTAGTCATCATTTCACCCTGAAAATAAGATAACATGGTTAATAAACTACCTGAAAAATACAAGGAGAACTTCGACGTTTCTATAGCAAATGCCCATCATTGGAAAGTTAGTAGCCAAACCTAAACCAACAAAGGGCCTTCCCTCAAAACCTCAAAGTTCTCACTGGCACAACCATTCAACATTATATTCTACTCCAATGCAATTTTGGAATCGTTTCTATCCTACAAATCAAGAATGCTTACCGCGGAATGGACAAGAGTACAATGTAAATCCTGTATAATGCCAACATTCACTTTATATGTTTCTTGCCTCGCTGAGAAATGTAGATTCATCTGATTTCGACTGGCTATCTTCAATGTTAAAAACTCATTTAACTAAAGAAAGAAGTAGATTTGTCAGTTTTACGTTTTATAAATTTTCACTTCTTCGATATCATAGGAAATTTATCGAGGATTGACAGATGGCCCGGGCAAACGGGAACAAGAGTTGTTTACTGCTTACCTCCCAAGAAATAACTGGATTGAGTTTACAGTTCTTCCATGTCCAACGTTGCACCAAAGCATGTTGCTTTAGTTAGAAAGAAAAGTTAGTTGACATCATTTAACATAATTTATCTCTTCCGTTTAATATAATGAAAGCGCATTAATTCACATATTTTGTTACGTTACACGATTCGACGACTTCTCTCCAGAGGCTTGTAGCACCCTTATTCTGTGCTTAGAATCACCCCTAGTTTGTGCTTTTAGCCGTTGTATAAAGCGAGGTAAGGGGAGTGAATTATTCATGAAGAGGGCGTCGAAAGAACCAATTTATACAAAAGCTAAATGCAAATATCAAACCTTGTCATAAATAGTGCCTTCTTTAGGTGTGCACATAAATCTTGAAAGAAACAAGAAAGCGGTTTAGAACATATCAAACGAGTCTTTCAACTAAACAAATACTTACAATTTTCCATTTCTATCATAGCAGCAAGCATTCGTGGGCGTGAAGTATGCCAGTAATGTTTCATCGTCGGTTGCATACACGTACGTGTATTTTCCTTCACC